ATAGGGCTAAATTGAGTGCCTTTGAAACCTCACTGTGGAATTCTGCAAGGGATTTTCTATCTTGTGTGATTCGCTTCATTTCATCAAGAAGCACATATAGTGGGCGTTGGTCTGCATATGTGTAATCCAATCTGTTAATGATTGAATAAAAATTCAATTTGGTGTTGTGGTTCGTAAGGACGTTAGCAGCGGGTCCTGTAATTTTTGTCCGCATTATTCCCAGGGCACTATAATATTTAGGGTGATTTTGGAAGATCTTTATAGCTTCCATGAATGCCCACACTTGTGATCTCCATGATCGGTATTGTACTTTGTCCCCGTCAAATTTTGGTAGGGATTTGAATAGCTCCAGGTCGATATCCTTGGCGTCAGTAATATTTAGTTTTACTTCTTCGTATAAAACTAATTCTTCCGGAGCGTTTTGTTGCTCTAGTGCGGCAATTCTCTCCGTGAATTCCGTTGTTTGTCGCTGCATCTCGTTCATCAGTGTGGTGAACTGGGCATTTAGTTGGGCCAGTTGTTGCTCCATGGTAAATTTATTTAGATTTCTGTAGTCGTCGTAGGATTTTTGCTTTTTTCCTCTCCGGAGTCTCCGTAAGGTATCCAGGTTTTTCACTTCACTTTTTTGTTTAAAATTTTCAGAGTTTTTTTATTATTTGCACACTTGATTGTGTTTTTTTCACTTGATTTCGGTTTAGGTTATCAGTATTATTCCGTTTTTTCAGGATCTATACTTGATTTTCGTTGATTCTTTTAGCACTTTTTCCAACGTGTAGTGCCGGAAGTCTTTCTTCCCGTGGATTTAGTTTTCTCTATTCCTTTTACATAGAAAAATGGCTTAAGGTTCGGTTGAGCCCCCAGTTATGAGTCCTTGTTAGGAATTAAAAGTACACAAGAGTTTATTTCTGTCTCGTTTTATTTCCAGAACTGTTTTCCATTTTTACACTTACATCTATTTATACTATTTCTAACTATTGTTTGTTTTGTGATAAAAAGATGTTTACATGTTTAGCATTATGTTATCATAATGCTTTGTTACTTATCACCGAATATAATTGTTTATGTTATTAAAAAGATGTTTACGGGTTTATACTTGTCTATCGTATTCTCTTTGTTATTATGTTATCATACAAGGTTAAAGGGCATATAGTTGTTTGTATGTATTTTGGTTCGTGAATAATGATTATATGTATATGTGTATGTATCTAGTGTTTAGGTTTAGCGTCGTTAACTCGCGCAAAATGATATAAATACTTAGTTTTATGTTTTATAACTGAACGAAAAAAGTGAGTGATGCCCCAAAAATGAAGGGCCGCAACTGGGCCCATACTTAAATTTTTTATTTCATAATCGATCTTTAGTTAAGTGCCCGTTAGAGCTAATTTCAGGAACGTTTCTGAGTGCGGCTGTAAAACTATCACTTGCGTTCGGTTTTACTCAAAACCGAGCCAACAAGTTTGGTTTTGTCTCATAGTGTTATCCGGCCAGTAGTGTACATATATATATGTAAAAAACGAACCAAAAATATCAAAGAAAACGTTTTTGATTTGACTTTTATTAATACGTTTATGCTTCTTAACTACTCGGTTAAATTCTACTGGGGTCAATACACATTTTCTCTACATCAGTAGCAGTGTGACCGCGGGCTTGTAAAAAATTTTAGCAGAAAAGAGAGTTAAAATGTATCAATATGTATCACTTTTTTTCATTTAAGTATCAAAGCATCCATATGGAATAAAACCATTAACCTTTATGAAAAACCATTTTCCAAAACAATTTAACATTTATTGCACAAGCAAGTTGAAACTATTTCCCGAAAGTGATTTCTGCAAATCTGCAAAAAGGATTTTCTGACTGTTTACACGGGAAAGTAGACTTTCGATTTTGCATTTTGACAGCAAAATGCGTAGAAAAAGAGCTAGCATTGCCACGTTTAACCACACCTTTAGTCTGGTAAAATATGCTTATCAACAGCTGATTCGTAGTTTTTTCCTCTACAAAAAATAAATTGTAACAAAAAATTTAAGGAGTTTTATTTATTCAAATGCGTCATGCCTTTCGGCAGCGGGCGGATTCAAAATTGGATGAATATCGTACAGCTGATGGCAGACTACCAGAAAAGTTATCAATCTTCCACCACGATAATTCGGTAACCGGTAAACCGATGCTAAAATAATTTTACACAAATAAAAAAAATCGGGAAAATGTACCGCAAAACTCCGCATTCGATGTTTAAAAATATTTAAATCTTAAAAAGCTTGCTGAATGACTTTCTAAAACGTTATCATAAATAATCCAATAGGGAACAGATTCTTATTTGGATTTAATATTAATATTTCATCGATGTTTCCACCAGCACGCTTTCTTCTAAGTGAAAATATGGATGTCAAACTATCAAAGTGCCTGCAATAGATGTCAAGAAATAAGTGCTGACATATATTGCAGCCCATGAGAAATAGGCGGTATGCATTGGAAATATATTTTGTGACATGGTTATCACGACGTTGGGGTTTTCCTGTGGAAACAGGGCCTTACGGAGCACCGAGTTACCAAGCCCTAATTTTTGTTATTGAACATAGCGAAAATAAAAAATGCAACGCTCTGATACTATTCGTTTATTCCCTCTTTGACGTTTTTCGTCATGGACCATGAGTCACAATACATGAAAGGTTTGTTCAGTGAACGACAATGGAGTTTTGGATGTACGTTGCCACAGGTGCACAACATGTTTTGTTTTTGGAAAATATCAAAATTGAAAAAAAGTATCTCTCCAAAATTATCGAAAAATGTATCACTTTTGATCCAAGTGGATCAAAACGGTCACACTGATCAGTAGAAATAATAATTTTAGTGTGGAGTTAACTCATGATTTAAATGAATGTGTGTAATTGGGAGTCAAAACGATCAGTATGATGCTTTAAATTACTTTTCGATATTATAAAATGAAAAATTCTTAGTCCGATTCAATCGTTTTATTTTATGCAACCAAAAAACAAATGGTTAAAACAGCACACACTGGCAACTCAAAAGAGTGAACTAATTTTTCAACACTTGTTAAAAATTGACCGAAGTGAAGTATAAACATAAGCTTTGTTTCTTAACAGATAATTATCACAAATTATCACTAATTTCTGCTGGAAAGCGTTTCTTAACCCAAAAAAAAACTAGCAGAAACTAGCTGCTCGTTCTTACGCTCTGCTATTTTTGGCTTTACTGCTAATTTCTGCTAGTTAAATTTTTACTAGCAGAAACTAGCAGCTGTCAAAATGGATAAACAAAAATTCGCGCCAAATATTTTCAATTGTCAAATACACCGACCAGCTGATTACTAGCTAGTTTTGCGTTTCTTTACTTTTTCGTTATTTCGCTCTCTGTGAGCGTAATTCTTTCAATTTTCTCATTCTTCTTCTTCCTGATAATTATCTGCTAGAAAAGAAAAGAAACAAAGCCTTAGTATGCGTCTCGTTCTTTTTTGACTCAGCCTAAGCAACAATTGTAGTGGGAAAGATTGGCCGAAGCAGGTATATTAATATCATTTTACGGAAGTCAATATTTTGCTTCTCTCAGCTACTTTCTTTCTGAATTTGTCCACAACTCACCGCGAGGAGGTAGCTTCAACGCAAGATCCGTCCTACTCTCCGTCTCCCCTACCATCAACGAAATCATCCATTTCTTTCTATTCACCATTTTCATAAATAGCTCCTTAAGCAACTCTGTTGGTGGCAGATTTCGATACAAAAACCAATTTAAATGGCTAATTATGCGGGGTATTTACGTAATACCTTGCTGGCTGAACTCGGATAAATAGCTTAGTTTGTGTTGTTGCTTTGCGTGTATTTCGTCATTTAACTGAGTGTTCCTTTGTAGCTCGGTTGCAAATGAATCCGAATAGGAAATCGGAATATAAGAAAGTAGAACAGTTTTTCGGTCTTTTAAGATGTAAAAAAAATGCGCACGCTTAATTAAAATTTTCTTTGGATATAGTTGGCCAATCTTAAATTTCTTGTTATACTAGCGAAGCCAATTAAATTCTCTATCATCTACGCCACACATATTTTCCAAAAGGCTTAATAATTTAGGATCTATTAAATAATTGATTTATCGACCACTTTTCATAATTTATAACAAATTTCTAAAAAAAAAATACTTTCGTTACAAACATCAGGATGAAGAAACGAGTTTACTTCCGATTTCTTTCTTATAAATACAATAAGACCCTAATTACTCAAATTTAATAAATGAAGACATTATGGACACTTAAGAAAAGATAAAAATAAAAATGGATTTTAAACTAATTTTCTGTACCCGAATCTTACCGCTACAGCAAAGCATCTGCATTCCCATTGCGCTTTCTGCTGAACGTGAGAAAATGAATACCAAAATATTTTAAGAGGTACATAAAAAAATATCAATTCTAAATACGAATGCTTTACTCCTATAAATACAGATTATATTTAAAAAAATCTTGTCCAGATCAGTTACGTAGTTTTCAAGATTAACGTGCTCAATAAATTTATGAGTAGATGTTTATTTTTTGTTGTATTAAGTTTACTGGGTAAGATGAACTTTTTTTGTAGCTACATATGTACATACATATATACATTCGAATGCAGCGTCATGCTTTTAACCGCTCATTATTGTATGGATATAATAAGTATGGCTGACTTCCAAAACGTCAATTGCATTGCATCCGTACAAAGTTTAATGTTCCAAGACGCCGAACTACAATTGCTTGACAATGTATACTTGATCAGCGCATCAGAAACAAAGTTGATGCTTCGTTTGCTTTTTGGTTACCATTGGTGTTTTAAAAATGGAAAATGCCGAAATGGTGATCATTGCTTTATTAAATATTCAAAATATGCAATGTATATGTTTGCCATGTTTCGCAACTCTGCATATGCAAACAGTTTAAATACCGCTGTAGAACAGTATCCAAACATTGTATTGATACGTTTGGGAAGTCAGCCTATCTTGAAACGAATTCAAACTTAACTTACCATTAAAATTAGTGAGTAATCCGTGATAAATGCAACCAACACCAACAAGAGTAATCCCAATCCAAAACCAGCACGATGTAGTGCATATGGAATGCCAATAACACCACTACCGACAATAGAATTTATGTAGTTGAATGAGGCCTGTGGTAGTGAGGACAATGCGTCGCCATCTAATGTCGCTGACGAATCAATGTACTGTCCTCCCCCACCTGCGTGCGAACTCTGCTGATGCTGTGCGGAATGCTTAGCCTGGCAATAAGAAGAACGATGGGAGTTATTCGGGGTGTTATTTTTTATGATTTTGTATACATATCTACAAATGAACATACATATGTACCATAGTTGGGGTAGAGCACTAAATTTTGAGTGCTCTAGGCCAGGGGTTCCCAAACTTTGTTCACCGCGGTACTCTTGTTGTGCTAAAAAAATTTCGCGGCACCCCTACTCTTCAAATGTCTACCAAAACAAAACAACACAATGCAAACTGTATGCTCCTTTAGCTTTAGTGTGAGGACTGAAATTGTTTTGATGATTTCATTATTTCTTTAAGATTATTGAGAGCTTTGCAAATTTTACCCTGAAATCATTTGACGTTGACTTCACAAAAAGGAGAAGGTTATCAATTCGTCGGAATATTTTCTTATGTATGTTACCGCATAACTTTGGACCACGTTAACCGATTACTATAATTCTTTTTTTAGAGAAAAGGTGTTACCACACAGGCGGTTCCATTATAATTTGGTTTAAATCCGATCATTGGATCATGAAGATATAACCGATAATCTTAAATTTTGTATATGAGAATTGAAGTCGGTTTTGTTTTTTGCTTAAAAACTATGTATGTATTTGTTTATGTAAGCATTTGTTGAAAATGCAGTCCTACGTAGAAATGTAAAGTGTCACTAGTATTTTTAATGCAATCTTGCCGACAGCAGTGTTTTCTGCTGCAGTCTTACATAGAAATGTAAAGTGTCACTAGTATTTTTAATGCAATCTTGCCGACAGCAGTGTTTTCTGCATACACCTGCATCCAGAACTCTCTTGGCTCCCTTCGTAGCATTTAATATTCAAAGTGCTGTCAACACTGATATCCAGAAGGTTTTCAAAAGCTTAATTTGTCATCCCAGTAGGTTAACTTTTCGGGTCACATGAAAACGGGTTTGTTATCCAGCTGTAGACATCCTCAGAGTCAATGTTGGGAAAATATTCGACAATGTTTTTTTCTAAACCTTCCATGCGCGTTTACGCTAAAAACCCTATTTTTACACGCAATTTCACGAAAGCAATTTAAGTGAAAAATGATTTTAATTTTTTGAATTTTATAAGGAAATTGACAGAAAATAAAAAATCATTTTCCATTTAAATTGCTGGTGAAACCACCTGTTATTAATTTACTTAGCGTTAACTTTGAAGTTACAATGTACGATTTACCTTGCTTATTTATGGGATTTTCATGCAAAGTTCTAGAAGTTCTAAAATATACATGTCACCAATAAAAAAAATCACGACGTGCTAGAAAAAAGCCAAAGATATATTTTAATTTCGCAGGCCTCTGTTATCTTCGCAGCGTCATCCAATACGGGCTTTAAATCTAGTGGCGGCATCTTCCTAGTTGCCACGGAATACCGACCGAATCATGCAGTGACTTCTCGTGGCGTTTTCTGCCCCTCGCTTCATCCTAGACATCGCTCCTTTCTTTTTTCCAACCACTGCAAATATCCGCACACTTGCTCCATTTCAAACAATTTTTATGTACAAATTTGTCGATAGCTTTAAAAATTTTGTCGCTAGTGGTGTAAGTCTCAAGTACTTCGCTCATCAAAAGTACTTCTTCGATTTGCATTCCGAAAGGGTACCGCACTAACACGAGAAGAACATTAAGTCCCAGTACGTCGGTACTTTCGGCAAGTCGCAAAAAAAAAAATTCACAAGTTTTCAAACTTTTTATAAGTTCGTTCTCAACTGCCTCTAAAATCGTGTTAATTGGCTCTTTCACAGTGTGATTGTGAAGTTCCAAAGAATTAGTAACATATGCACGTGCGCGAAGCTGGTGCGCTTGTCACTCGAACAGCCCAGCCCATGGTTGTGAAAAGTGTACGTTTTCAAGCAATTTTTTTGAAAATTTTCTGATTCAATTTTTCGTTGACAAAACGTACTGGGGGACTATGCTTAAGAGCGAAATGAGCTGCTGAAGGTAATTTTAATAAAAATCAAAAAATTTTGATTTTCTGGCCGCCATGTTGAAGTTTGATCAAACCGTTGCGTTGTGTATGGAAAGTTTAAAGAATTTGCCCTCACCACTAGTATACTCTAGCCACTAGCGGCACCCACTTTGGGAAAGCCTGCTCTAGGCATTTCACTAGCACTAAATACCCTCTAGGGTATGCTGCATTTTTATACCCGAGCGTACTTGTGTGGGTATTATAACTTTGTTCACATAACGGTTGCTTGTAACAGGCAAAACGAATCGAGATAGATATAGTCAAATGTATACATAAATGATCAGAATGAAAAGAGAAATCGATTAAGCGGTGACTGTCTGTCCGTACGTCTGTGCACACGATAGCTCGAGTAAAAATTGAGATATCTTAACGAAACTTTGTACGTGCACTTACTCGGACGTAGGACGGATGGTATTGAAAATGGGGAAAATCGGACAATAACCACGCCTAGTCTCATACAACGGTAATTTTCAGAAATACGAAAACTGCGATATTTTAGTAACTACTGAAGATTATTAACTCGAAATTGATATTTACAACAATTTTTAAACGGAAAATAAGAATATTATAAATTTTTGGAAAATGGGCGTAGCCACGCCCATTTATGGTTACATGTATATAACTTGGTAACCTCTGAACCAATTTCTTCTAAACTTGGTGCGGTTGTTAGCTTTGGTACAGCATACCAAATGGCCAAAAATTTTTAAAATCGGACAATAACCACGCCCACATACCATATAAAGGTAATTTAGAGAAATACAAGATCTTCGATAAATCAGTAAATATTAAAGCTAATTTATTCAAAATTGATGCTTGCAACAATCTTTACCGAGAAATACGTTTATGGGAAAATTTTGGAAAATGGGCATGGCACCGCCCACTTATGATCACATATATGTATCTCGGTAACCGTCCTACCAATTTGTACCAAACTCGGTATGGTTATTTTGCTTGCCAAATAAAAGCAAAACGTTGAAAATTATTGAAATCGGACTAAAATTTAGGCCGCTTTTAATATAGGGGTAAATTTCAAAAATGCTTGAAACTTCAATATTTCGAAATTTAAGGACGCTAATTTACTCAAAATTGATACACCTCGGCTTACCATGTAGCGGTAACTTTCGGAAAAGTGAAAATCATATATTTAATACTTGCGCCGGGTATTTAATGTTCGGCTCCGCCCGAACTTAGACTTTCTTACTTGTTTTCTTATTTCTTAGTTAAACTTTTCTTCTTCTTTTCCTTTAACTTTCTTTTAATTTTTAGATTTTGTTCTTAAAAGTAAGAATGTATATTCATATGCATATATTATATTTCCACATCTTTTAAGTTTTAGAAAATTATTTTATTCTGTTAAACGATATCCAAAAGAATGAGAAGCCGACCAATCGATGTTGATATCTTGACAGTTTATTAGCGAATGAATTCAAAGTAGAAATAGTGTTACCATATTTACATACATTAGTAAACAAGTATTAAGTTCGAAAAATGAAAAATATATAAGTGTTGCCACACTTTCTTGTGTACATTTAACACTCCTCCTCAACATTTATATATTTATGCACTGCAAGGAATTTTTTTTTTTTAACTCTAGTCTTTTAAGCCAAGTTCCCCAGTGAATTTACAATGACTTATTCTTTTCAAATTTTTGGTCAATACATCAGCTACCATAGCATTGCTTGGATAATAATTTAGTTCAATTTCTTTGCTATTGTAAACCTCTCGTATATGATGGAATTTAATGTCTATGTGCTTGCTTCGAGCATGATAAACGGGATTTTTTACTAAGCTCATCGCACTCGTATTATCACCGTTGATCATTATCGAGGCACCCTTATCAAACATTTTCATCTCTGCCCACAATTTTCGTAAATAAACCGCTTCTTTTGCTGCTGCCGAAAGCGCCATATATTCGGCTTCCGTGCTGCTTAATGCCACTGTAGTTTGTTTCTTAGACTCCCAGCTGAAAGCGCTGCCACCAAAAAAGAATGCATATCCTGTATATGATTTTCGGTCAGTAGCGTCACCGCCCCAATCTGCATCGACATATCCCATCATCCACTCGCCAGTTTTTCTGTATCGAATTTTCAAATTAACTGTCGCTTTAAGGTACCTCAAGATGTGCTTCGCTGCCGCCAGATGTTCAGAGTGTGGGTCGGAGAAAAACCAATGTCTTTCAGTACCTCATCAAGTCTTGAGTTCCAAACTCTGCCTGACTGCTTAAGGCCATACAATGATTTTTTTAGCTGTAACACACAGCCGTTGTCTTGCTCAAATATCTCAGGTTGGCTCATGTAGATGTCATCTTCGAGCTTGCCGTTGAGGTACGCCGTTGATACGTCGAGCTTATGAACGTACAACTCGTATTCTGCCACTGTAGCCAACATCATCCTTATTGTAGCATATCTCACAACAAGTGAGAAAATTTCGCTGAAGTCAACCCCGTACGTTTGGCTGCAACCCTTTGCCACTAATCTTGCCTTGTACCGCTCGATTTCACCATTAGCATTCGTCTTCACTCAAACACCCACTTACATCCGATTGCCTTTTGGCCCTTCGGTAGCTTTGCTTGCTCCCATGTCTCGTTGTGTACTAATGCGTTGTACTCCTCCTGCATAGCGATCCACCATTCACGCGCTTGCCTGCTGCACATAGCTTCTTTAACTGATACTGGCACTTTGACGTTTAGATCGCATGCCAAATTTACTGCATTTTGTGGTTTTCTTGGTCTGCCAGGTAAACCAGTTTTTATTACTCGTGGCCTACCACGTCGAATATGTTGACATTCAGTACCGCTGCTTATCTCTTCATCGGTTGAACTACTTTTTTCAGCACTCTGAT